TTTTTTAACAGATAAAACAGAGGGGTATCAAAGAAACCTTATTTGTTTTTATCATTTTCATTTTTATTTATTCACTTATATATATATTATACTTATGCATATCCTTTTCTTCATTAATATTGCAGTTTTTTAAGGAAGTACCATTCAGTGGCAATTGCAATTATCACTCGGCGTCAGTCTAATCATGACCTCAGCCGCACTCGGGACGAATTCAAACACGACGTCAGGGACACCAATCTACACATCACTCACCATCGTTCCAAACGTAATACGGCGTTCATACGACGATCCGGAATACAGCGCTGGCTAATTCCAAAAGATTTGCAATGCCCAGAAGAATCTTCGTTATAAACCTGAACAACCTCTCTTAATACACACCTGGAAAGAACCGACAGCGACGGTGCGACTGAAATTCCCCGTCGGAGTGCCGAGGTCGGGGCTCGAGGGCACGACGCTCCCGCAGCAGTAGGTCGGGGTTTCTTCAAAATATTTGGGTAATGATAAAGATGATAATAACAATATGAATTATATCAGTACGTCTACTATTACTAATGATGATAATGATGATAATAACAATATGAATTATATCAGTACCTCTACTATTACGAATGATGATAATGATGATAAAGAAATATAGAATATTAATAATGATAGAGATATAACAATGATGGTAATAATTTTAATGATTATAGGAATATTAATGATAATAATAATGATAGTTATAATAATTATTATAATAATGATAATCATGCTTATCGTAATTATACCAGTGATAATAATTGTAATGAAATAATAAAGATGATAATGATTATGATGATGACAATAACAATAATAATAATAATGGTAGTAGTAATAGTAGTAATGATAATAATAACAATGAAAACAATCCTGATAATCATATATATATATGAATAAATAAAAACGATAATGATAGTAATAATAAGGATCATGATAATGATACGAATACTAATGATAATACTGAAAATGATAATAACAAAACTGTTGATTAATTAAATCATTATAATGTCTCAATTGTTATTATAATCATTACTATTTATATTTTCATTAATAGAGTGAAACCATCATCATGAGGATAATCAGCAGTAGTATTACCATTGTCATTATGACTGATAGTATCACAATCTTCATTTTCACCCAAATTATGATTTGAATACTGATGATAAATTATAACGATAGCTAAAATATATAAAGATGAAATGATAACATTAAACCCAATACTATTCTATACATACAACTCACTCACTCACTCACTCACTCACTCTCTCTCTCTCTCTCTCTCTCTCTCTCTCTCTCTCTCTCTCTCTCTCTCTCTCTCTCTCTCTCTCTCTCTCTCTCTCTCTCTCTCTCTCTCTCTCTCTCTCTCTATCTCTATCTCTCTCTCTCTCTATCTATCTATCTATCTACACACACACACACACACACACACACGCACACACACACACACACACACACACACACATATGTGTGTGTGTGTGTGTGTGTGTGTGTGTGTGTGTGTGTGTGTGTGTGTGTGTGTGTGTGTGTGTGTGTGTGTGTGTGTGTGTGTGTGTGTGTGTCATATATATATATATATATATATATATATATATATATATATATATATATATATATATATATATATATATACTGTATATCATCAGATGTAATGAATAGAACTTACTAAGAAATTGTTGATTCGACTTCTCATATCCATTGTTGACGTAAGCATAACCGTCGTCCCACACCTGGAAGTTAAAGCTTAAATAATATACACTGTGTATACTCTACACTCAATATATTTGTTCATACATACACATATATACATATTTAGATACATGTTTCTTATCATCATCTTTATGAGGTATGATCATCCCATGAGCTCAGACATTTATGTTCCTAAGCATTAATTTACATGGCTATGTCTTTGGAATATACAGCTATGGTGGAAAATCATCAGCGAGCAGGAATATATTTTATCTTCATATAATATTATATACCTTTTCTTATCCATGGCAGTAAAAATGTCATGCATAGACTATATTTAACCTATAGGAATGACGTCAAAACAGAGAAAAGGCGTGCATGACAATGGCCATTGCCTGAGAATATATACAATCTCCTCAGCACTTCGATATTTTACTGTGGAGATAAATAGCAGAGATAAATTTGTGGAGATAAATAGTAAGACTATTGCCATGTCATGTTCAAATAGTACGCTCAAAAATGCACGTAAAAACAGATTCATTGAAAGATAAGACATCAAGAGGCTCTCGTAAAAGCATTGTAATTCTTTGGGAAAACATTTTCTAAACCGTGATCTTTTGCGCTCCAGATAAGCTCTCGAACGCCACCACCTTGTCTGAAATCCCTTGTTCCCATTCACGGATTTGTCTCAGGGAATTCTTACCTGGACCTCGACGGAGTACCTGCCAGCGCCGGAGTACAAGGTGTAGTAACGGGAATACACTCCGTCTCCCGCCTGGGTGTCGGCGCCCTGGCCGTTATCGAGAAGGTCCAACTCCACTGCGTCAAGGTCCTCGCTTGGCTGCGTGATGGTCGCTCTGTCGGGTTAACGGAGGGAATGTGAGGGATGTATGTTGGGCTGGGTCGCGTTTCTTGATTTGACTTTCATAGATTCTTTTCATTTTGTCATCCGCCTGGTTCTAATCACACACATGTTCACGCATGTTTGAGTTCGCGCGCGTGCGTTTGTGTGTGTGCCGGTGTCTGTGAGTGAGTGCGGGCCTGTGGGCAAGGTCCATATAAGTACATATATAGACCTTGCCTGTGGGTGTCTGCAAGTGCGTGTGTTTATCAGTAACGAACCTAAAGGCTTTTCCATCCCAAGCACCACCTCGGCGCTACAGTGACCCACTTCGGATCAAACGCACTTTATTACAAACCAAACAAGCCTTACCTGACTCTGGCATCAACGACAGGGTTGTTTCCTTGTTTAATTTCCGCGTACACAATCACAGGGTTGTTTGGGATGTCCACGCCGTACGGTCCTACGTTCAACTATGGAATGTTATGCCATGGATAAGGTGTCAATAACAATATATTTCAGTTGCACACTTGATAGTAATAAACGTAGAAATAGTAGCTTACTGGTGAATATAACTTTAAATTTATTTTGGTTAAATACTCTTACCTTAAATAATTCTTCATTTGGACCCACACTTACTTTCAAATTTTGACAAATATTCAGACTTTGAATAATTCTTCATTGAGAGCCATACCAACTTACAATTTTTCACTCTTACCCTAAATAATTCTTCATTTGGACCCATACTAACTTCCAATTTTTCTCATTATGATTTTTTTTTTTTTTAACCTTTTACTCACCCAGGCACGAGAGAGGATGGGTGAGTTCCCTGGTTCTCTCCCTCTCGCTGTAACACTGACATGGATATAACAGTCCTCGGAGGCAGGCAGAGCTAGACTCCAAATCCACGATCCGACCTGTGGAAGTGAAAGCTGTGTGCGTGCGTCTGTTTCTGTTTTTCTTGCGAGTCCCTCTCTCTTTCTCCCTTTATTTAGTACACTACGTTCCATTTATTTATATTTCTGTGTCTCCTTTTCTATATAGTGGTAAAACAAAGAAGATAAAGTCCAAGCGTATAAGAAAAAACAAAAAAACAAAAACACCAAAACTCAGGAAGAAAAAGAAAGGGTGGAGTAAACCCTTTCCCCCAGAGAATTAAATCAGAAAACAAGAAAACAGAAATGAAACAAAACGAAACTAGAACACAACCCAAATACTCTGCAAAACAATAACAAAAACACATAAAAAAACAGTATTCAACTCCTCTCTCCCTCCACCCCCCCCTCCTCCCCGCCCTCCCCACCCCCTTTCCATACCTCGGCCACCGGCAGAGAGACAGCCCACAAGACACCGTCTGTAGTCTCGGCATCGACACGAGTGCCATTGGTCGTTATCAGATGCGGAACGCTCTTGTGAAGGCGACTTTTCTGTCTGTGTCAAGCCGAACTTGCAATGAGCGGCTCCAACTATGAACTGAATCGGCGACTATGAAGGATT